TATAACTATCAACCCTTTCGTTACTAACGACCGTTAATACAAAAGTAGCTCCTCGTATGTACGAGCGACTCTCCTATGGGGGTCGTATACCATGCAAAGATACGTATGTACGAACAAATTTATATGGAACGATGATAACTTATCTTAAAGCATACCGTAACGAATGAGTTTATTAACTAATATAATTAATAAATATATATATATTTATATATATGTATGTGTGTATTATAATACGGATATGATCATCAGACCGATGATTTGTAGATCGTCTCGTGTCGTTCGAGCTGATCCGTATTTATCGATCGGAAACGTAAGATAAATCAATTAACGTCTTTATAGTCAAATTCTCGTCTTCGTCCTTCGTCCTCGTAATTATTTAATTCGTCGTTGAATTATAGTCCGAAACATAAACGTTACTAAGATTAGAAATCACAAATGAAATCACAGACTTTCGTTGGTGGTTCGACAGAGTGAAAGAGAGAGAGGGGTGGAAGTGGGGTAGAAAGGAGAATTGGAAAGAGGGTAGGAAATATATATATATATATATAGGGTGGTGGTTGTAAATAGGGATAAGAGATTTACAGAGGAACAGTAATGGGAGGAAAGGGGGCGGGGTGAAGATGAGAGCCGCACTTTTACGATATTAGAACGAAGACGTCTTCATCATCTTCTTCTTCTTCTTCTTCTTCCTCCTCTTCTTCTTTTTTTCCCTATTTTTCTTCTTCATTTTAATTTGTTTAAATATCGTCATCGTCTTCTTTATCATCGTCGTATTCATCATCACATCATCATTATTATTATTATCATTATCATCGTCTTAGGCATCGCCAAGGAACGAAGTTCGGACGAACGATTCAAGATCTGGGGGAATATTATTCGAAATTTCCCCTAAGAAGGTTTCATTCCCATCCATTTTCCTTGATCATGTGGGCTAGCTCAATTATGAATTTACCCTCCTTGTACTTTTGACTCGACTCAAAGGCATGCTCCTGAAAATTAAATTCAAACGCGTTAGAATATATTTGTAATGTGTTAATTAGCTTATTTTTTTTTACGATTGCATTTAACGATGCGCTAAACGCGGAACAATTATAAATGGAAAATTACAAAGAAATAATTCGCATCACGTTTTTGATCAGTCCGTGAATATATTTATGAATGTTATTAATGCTATTATTATTGACTATTCTTTTTTCAATATAAAATGTTTGTTGATTTTTTTTAAATTTCTTTTTTTTGAACTTACGTATTTCCAACCGAGAGTCGTCTTGCAGCATTCGCAATAAATATCAGCGACCGCATGAAGGCCGGTTAAGAGGACACGTTCCTCGGCAGGACCACAACCCACGTTTACCCTAATGCAAAAATAGAAAATATTTAATAATGTTATCCTTTTAAACGAACGATTACGTTAACGATAGTATTATTCATTAACATTGAAACACATTTCTATAATAAATGTTGAATAAATGATTAACAATAAAATAATTGTGAGAATATTTGAAATAATTAAAAACTAAGAAAGAAGAAGAAGAAGAAGAAAAAGAAAAGCAAGGAATTGATTGCATAAGAACAATTATCATTTATTTCGAATTAATATAATTCTAAATTAATTGCATTAACTTACACAGAATTGAAGAGATAGGCACGTCCTTGACTGCCCTGGAAGGACTGTAAAATCAGAATAAAAGATGGTCTTGAGTTTTCTTGGAATTCATCGAGGAGTTCAATGTAACAAGGAACTATACCAATAACAATGCCATTGTTTGTCAAATAATAAGAAAAAGAACTCTCACGAAAACCCGGTATTTCAATAAACTTAGAGAATGAAATACATTTATACACACACACAAATATAATTAAAATTAATATTATATTTTAAATAAATACGAGAGAGAGAGAGAGAAGAGAATAATAGTGTGCATTAAGAAAATGTTAATATTAAAAAATCAAAAGATACCAATTATAAAAACGTTCGTACGAAAAAAGCCAATCGTATTATTTAACAAAGGAAACAAAAAGGTACAAAAAATTAGCCACGCAATTATAAAAATTAAATAATAATAATAATAATAATCAGAGACATCCTCTCCGAGGGATTTAAAAATGAATAAACAAAACAATCTCAATCGTCACACGATTTTTTTATAGCAAATCATCATCATCATCATCATCATCATCATCCCTTGCATCTTCCTCTTGCACTAATTGGGATACTCCTTTTTGTTTTTTCTTTATTTTTTAATATATAAATAAAATCAGTGAATTTTTCCTTTAAAGATCATCGATCGAGTATTAAAAATTAATTATCGAGGTAAAGAAAATCCGTTACCTGATAAGGAGAGCTCACCTTAGAGATGAGTTCGTCGTGATTGGCGAGGTGAGCACGGCAGTGAATGCACGAGTAAGTGCGATGACAGGAGGGCAGATACGCTTGGAAAGTTTTGACCATGATGCCGTGTCCAAGCGAATTTAAATTATTCTCTCTTTTTTATTTATTTATTTATTTAGTTTCTTTTTCTTTTTCTTCTTCTTCTTATTATTATTTTGTCTTTAATATTATTTTGCTCCTGTTATTTATATTATATGCACCATTCCCTCTTGTAATTATTATTTTTTTTTTTATATATATATTGGTTGTTAAAATTTGTATTTTATTTCTTGTTTTTTTTTGTTTTTGTTTTTCGTATATTGTTTGCCCCCTGTGTTTTATTAATTTTTCTTGGTATTTATTTTCTAACTCGTTTTTATTCTCGTTTATAAATCTTGTTTGCTACACCTCTCTCTTTCTTTTTTCTTTTTTTTTTTCTTTCTCTTTCCTTCTACCACCAACACAGTTCTCTTTCAAACACGTGAGCCTTTAAAAGATCTCGTTATTATTCCTTAACGATTATCTTGCAAATATGCGGGGTGGTGGTGCAATAGTGGCCCCGTTCACCGCCGCTTCGTACTCCGATCAGCTGTTGAGCTGGTTCAGACAGCGCCGGTTCGGGGACACCTGAGAAACAAACGATACAACAAATGAAATATTTATTCGATTGAAATTAAATAAATAAATAAATAAATAAATAAATACTAAAGACCAAAAAATATATGCGATTGAAATTATTTTTGATCTTGTGCCAAAGTAATTAAATACAGTGGACTTTGTGATTGTAAGCACAAAATAAATTAAAGAGAAACAAATTAAATTATATAGGATTTTTATTTTATAAATATATAATATTGTAATTATAATATATAAAAATCGCGTATAAAATTAATTTCTATATTTTTCTTTTCATCGTAATAATTAATTAGAATTATTTATATCAAAATAAAAATCCTTCTTTTATATTTGTTTATACTTGTTAGTACACTCTCTTCCCATAATTACTGGGCACACGTTGTTGCCCTGTTATTTAACTTCTACATTATGTTTTAGATATATTTTTTAAAAATAAAAATTCCAAAAATATAAATAATTGTATATATTATTAACAGATTTGTGTGATGTGTATTATTGAGGATTTTAGTTAAACGTAAAAGTTTTATCGGTAGCACACGGTTGGTTACGTGTCGTGGCAACCTCTGGGACAAAGAACGACAAGACCTTTTTATTTATGATGCGCGTGTCGACGAGAAGTTTCCTTCTTGAGAACGCAGGAAGTTCTTTACAGGAACGCAGGAAATATACGCATGTATGTATCTTTAGTCTGTTAAGTTAAAAAGAATAAAAGAAAAAGAGAGAAAGAGAGGGAGAGAGAGAGAGAGAAACAAAGAAACTGACGTGTCTTTACAAAGTTTTATTTAATTGCCTATCTATACCGTGTATAGTATTATTATTATTATTATTATTATTAATATATAAGTTTCAAAGGGAATTATAGACGGTTAATAAATCTGATGAACAATTTATTTTGAACTAGTTGTACGTTTCGTCCCTTACTGGGGACTTCATCAGCAACTTGATCATTTAATTTTAAATTATTATTATTATTATTATATATTATTGCATTATTCATTTATTTATTTATTTTTTATATAAAAATCTCTTATTTTTAAAAATCGATTTATCCGTCGATAGGTGCGAACATTTGAATTTGGCGCCACGCGTAAGACACGCGTAACCCGCGAAATTTAAAAAAATAAAACACGGTACTATGCATGAGATTTAGAAATTTTTTTTTTTTTTACAAAAATGTTCACGACAAGAAAGATAATACATTTTAAATGAAAAGAATACCGTTATAATTGGAAATAAAAGGGAAAAATAAGTGCAAACGAGATGCAGGCTAAAGTTTGTGAAGTAAACGACGACGACGATGAAGTCTCCTGTGTTAACCTGTTCTATTCTTCATCTTTTTTTACTTTGGAAAAAGCGGCAACGATTTACCGTGACCTTGCAACGATAACGGTGTCGTTCTCGAATACTCTTTAAGTGTGTGTGTGTGTGTGTGTCAAGTCGAGCCTTTTAAATATGGAATTAGCGTATACATACATGCATACACAACATATATATATATATATATATATATATATATATATATACATACATTTACGGATAGTAGAGACACGGTAACGAAGTTTTATTTTTCTTCCAACAAAAATTGCTCGAACAGTAAACGTGACTTACATCTTAACGTCATTTTAAATAAATTATACAGTTATAAATGCATTCGGGAAAAGCTACATCATCTTTCATGTTTAATTTTTTGTTTGTTTGTTTTTATTTTGTGTGTTTTCAATTATAATAATAATTTATTATATTCTTTCGGTGTGTGTGTATCGATTTGTTCTTGTTGTTTTTTTTTTACAATGCAACAAATGCGATTATTAAAGGATAGTGAATTTTATTAAAAATATATTATATTAAATGATAATAATTTCAAACGTTACAAAATTTATCAAACAACAATGTGTGCATATTACTGGTTATTGCTATTTTTGTTAGAAATCTTTCTCTCTCTCTCTGTGACAATGATAACAAAAAACAAATGCAAGAAATAATAAATAAAATAAAAAAAGATTTATTACTCGTAAGAGAGCGAGGGTGGTATTCTCTCTCATTTTGATGAATACTAATTGCCAAGTGAAATATAATTGGAAGAAAGGATATTCTTTTCTCTTCCTTCCTTTCGAAGAATTCATGGCAACTAAGTGAGATGAAAAGGAAGAAGAAGAAGAAAAGGAGGGAGTGTTCTGAGAAAGATAAAGGGGGTAAAGAAACAAAGCGGAGTCAATACCACTGTTCAAGGTTATTTCAAATCGTCATCCACGTTCTCCACCACCATCACCACCACCACCACCATCACAGACGCATTCACTGAATTTTTATCAGTATATTTTTCTTCTTTATTTAATCCTCAATTTGATATTATATTATTTCTTTTATGTTATACTTCCTTACCCCCTCCCCCCTCCTCCTCCTCATAATAGTCGGATGATAATAATAGAACACACGATTGGTTGTTAATTAAAATAAAAAACCGAGGAAGTGTACATGTCATCGATAAAGTTGCTGCTTGCTTGCTAACACGAACACAATGGTACTACATTACGCGAATCTCTTTTCTTTCTTTCTTTTTCATTTATTGTGATGTGTGTGTGTTGCAATAATAACGTGGTAGTATTATTGCGCATCAGTTAAATCAGAATGTGATACACAAAGAAAAATAAGAAAGGACATACGCAATAAGTATGCAAGAGAAACTTTACAAAGAAAGAAACAAACAAATATATATATATATATTCGTTTTAATCAATACAAGCATAACAAGCGAATCGCATTTCACGGGGCCCACGTGCTGCATACACACATGTATACATACATACATACACGATAAACATATCAGAAGATAGTTAATGCATAACGATACGCAACAAAGTATATCTGCGTCTTACATTTATTCGATTAACGTATATATAATACACACACAACGCGCGTGCACGTTGATTTTTATCATATTTTATATGTTTTGTTCTTTTTTTTTTTTTTTTTTTTTTTTTTTTTTTTTTTTTTAGATCATTTTTTCGTAAATTTAATTGCAATTGATATCGGATAAGGTAAGAATCTTCTGATAAAAATATATGAAAATGAATAAATAAATATTAAAGTATTGGATAATTTTGTGTTTTGAGACCAATAAAAATATAAATAAATATTTATTGATAGAAAAAGAAAAAGAAAAGGTGTTTGGTAGAATTAACGTTGAGATTTTATTTTCGTAATATCTTTTATTGCGAATATGAACTATTTCTTTTTTTTTTTTTATTTTTTACTATATCAAAGAAATATTATGCAGACGGATTGTCGTATATACTTGTTGATAAATATCATAGATAAAAATCGTTTCAATTGAAAAGATCGCGTTCCGATTTAACGTACACTGCAAATATATAATCGATATCATATATATATATATATATACACACACATATGCATATATATTTTTCTTATCGAACCATTTCTTTCCTTCCTCTTTGAATCTTGAAAATAATCTTTCGTATTATTCGATTTCCGCTATGAGTGTAATATTTTGATATAAAATAGAGAAAAAAAAAAAAAAAAAAAAAGAAAATATAAGACTCGAAGGTTGTCGTCGTGAATATTTTACATAATTTTTTTTTTTATTATTTTACGTTATTTTTCGTCGCGAAATGAAGAAATTAGAATGTGTGTGTGTGTGTTGTATAAAGTTAAATACTTATCTTAAAAGTAAACGTTGTGTATTAAAGAAACGCAATGTTGATATCAATAGCTTAACTTTTCTATTTAAAGAAACGCTTGACCGCATATATCGATCGATATATACAAATCAATCGAAAATAACCTCGATTTATTTATTTATTGGGTTGGCCAATAATAGTAATGTCGGAATTTGGTAATACGAACTCTGTGGCCAAGATTCATTGAATTATTTCTTCAAATCACTTACGATAATGCACAGTTAAAAGCATATATAAGCTTTATTACAATTATTTACTTATTTATTTATTTATACTTTTAATGTAAAAACTAATATAAGAATATTTTTAAAATTTGAACAAGAAAGTATCTTTCTCAAAAAAATAAAAACAGAAAAAGAAAGGGTAATTTTGATCATCTTAAATCACTTAAGATCCTTTCGATCCAGTGCATGTTAAAAACTTCGACATTACTAATCTCGGTTAATTCAATATTCCCCTTCCAAATATTTTCTTTATTTTCTTTTATATTTGAAGAAGAAGAAGAAGAAGAATTAGTTCAATTCTCAATGCTTACAATTCGATTGTAAAATCAAATATTTGATCAAAGATTTAATTTCAAAGACCCTTTCCTCAAATCTAGAATAAGAATTGATTTTAACAAAATGGTGGACTAAAAGGAAAAGTTCGATTTGAAGAGTTAGCTATTATTCTCTTTCATAATACACCCCCCCCCCTCTCTAATGTTGAAATCGAGCAAGTGCAAAAATGAAATAGATAAAGAAGGACATGTTCAACTTATATGAACAGTGTTTCACACGAAAGGTTAGACTTTAATCGATTTCGCGCTCAAGTAAACGTTTCAAGCTGTCGGGTCAACAATTTATCACTTATAATCTAACTTCACTTTACCGTCAGCCATTTTACCTTCGATGGATACGACGCATACTTCATTGTTTTGTAACTGTGTTGCATATACACGTGGTGCGCTTGTTAAAACTACGATCATGATATATTTTTTCTTCTCAAAGGTATCCCTGTTATTTTTAATCCTTTAATCTCATCTTCCCACTCGTGTGAACAAGAATAAAAAAAATTAATAGTAGTATTTGCCGCTGATAATAATGACAATGGGAAAAATGAATTTAAATATATTGTATGAGAGAGATTTATTTTATATCTTAAAATTATTTATATTATCACAAAAAAATATAAATTATACAAAATAAATCTTTTTTGTATAATTTTTAATTTATTAATTTAACTCATTATATTAATTATCAGCACACAATTACATGCGTATGAGTAACGGAACTTGTAAATAAATGATCA